TATCAGGACGTTTTTTTTTTGTAGCTCTGCAGTGGGTAACGTTATTATCGATATCTATGGTGAATGAGGTCATAGTATATTCAAGTCGAACATTTTCATCAGATTGAACAATGAAAAAATACAATTTTTGTGTCTCCTCATGCCTCCATCTCAGTACCTATGTGAAGTACCCATATGAACTGCTGATACTAGAATCACCAAAATACCCGCCCCTTGAGGTTTGGGAGCGATCTTCAATAACACCCTGAATAAACATCGTTTTTCGAGAAGAGTGATACGTCATTATGACAATTATTCAAATCACGTTGAATTGACATCATAAAAATCATAGTTATTTTATTGGTCACACGACGTCTCTGACCAACACTGACGTCAAGTCCACGTCATAAACACGTCTCTAAAGACAACGATGCTACCTGGGATGCCGGGAATTCGATGAAAGATATCGATTTATTCAAGTGTACAAAGTATTTTCTTTCCTATCCACCCTGTATGAGGATAATAAAAATCTCTCTCTGAAGTGACGGTCCTAGAGGTATCACTCAATTATTTTTCAAAATTCGTAACATCGGAATGACGTAGAGTGAAATTATTATCACAACGGTCGGTTGAAATAACGTTTCGTGGAAACTGTGAATTACGTTGAATCAACGCAGAAATATCATTGACAGTTCCTTGTTATTTTTCACTAGTACACAACCATGTTTTTACATTCTGATTTCAACGATGTTAATGAGGGCAAAACAACGTTGAATAAATAATGAATGATGGTTTCGTGACTAACCGTTTGATACAGGTGGAAACAGTCTGGTACTACACCAAATTTTTCACGAGGAATAAACGTGATTGGTATATCAACGATTTGTGACTGTCCCAAGTTACTACAATCATTCATTGAGAACCAATGATTTGAACTAGTTGATGACATAAGATCTCTCAACGTTCACTCAGTATCAAATTCCAATCGTTATGTTTTCGGGTTTTAGAATGTTTTCTGGACGTTTTAGCCAGATCATTTCCCTAATCATGATTTAGACCTATCAGATATCTTCATTTTCTGAACAAATTTTTTTCAGATGAGTGAATTGATCCCTCAACCCGTTCAACTGCAGATAAACTCATGTACTCCTAATTGTTTTTTGTTTTGTTGATTATCTATCGCAAGAGCTGCTTCACAAAAACCCGGATTCTTATTCCGTGCGAAAAGCTACTCTACACCTCAACAGCTTCTTATGATCTACAAAGCGCAGATACGGCCTGTTCCAGAATACTGTTCCCACATATGGGGTTCAGCACCAAAACATACGCTGATGCTCTTAAATTCCACCCAGAGAAGAGCCATTCGTCTGGTGGGTGACGCCACTTTCACTCACTCTTTGACATCATTGGGACACCGTAGAAAGGTCGGCGACCTTTCACTTTTCTATCGATACTTCCACGGGAAATGTTCTTCAGAAATCTCTGCTATCATTTCTTTACTAGCAAGACCAGTCAGACGAACTAGACAAGCCCAGTCATCACATCCTTCCGTTGTCAACCTCGAAAAATGTCTAACAGCACTTTATCAAAACTCCTTCATCCATAGAACGGCTGAGTTTGGAATTCATTGCCTGAGGAATTATTCTCAACAACATATAATCTCCAGAAGTTCAAGAAAAATTCCAATACCCATACCTCCTGTCCCTATCCTCTCTAGCAACGCAAGATGTTCTTTGAATATTATAGGGATCTCCTCTCGTGCGCTCCAAGCGATAAAAAATCTCTGATTATTATATATAATATCGGCAAAAAACTATAAAAATACCTCGAAAATACATTGATTTGTCAATCGCTTTTTTGACCTGATATTGATTTTCACCAAATGAAATCTCCATTTCGGATAGATTTTTCCTCTGATTCCCTATACAAATGATTTGCCATGAGGTGATGAGAATCCGTCCAAGTTTGAAATATTCAAATGCATACTTCACTATTATGCACTGTTCGAATGCATAACCAAGGTAATAGAAACACAAACATTATCAGTTGAGCGTGATGATTCTGGAAAGTCGTTCGAATTGATTCAACGATCTAGTGAAAATGAATTCACGTCTCAGTAATATTTCGTGTGATTGTATGGATCTGGAAATACATGGAAGTTCACCAACCAACACTGTGAAAACTCATGTCTCTATATGGCGACAGTTTTCAGTTTTCTGAGTTTTGTGAAAAAGCTACCATTTGGAGGAAGATATGGAAGTAAATGATTTGGCTGCAATATATAAAGACTGGATAAATCAATGGGTACAATATGCGTTAGAGAGACGGGACAGAATATCAAGAAGGTGTGATGAAGGCAATGTGGAATATCGTATATAGCAAAAAACTGCAAGAAATGTACCACGTTCAATTCATCGTAGGTTTTGCTTCATTCATATACATAATATACATTTTAAAATTGATAAAACTGCAAGACATGTGAAACGAATAGTTCTTCAACAAAATCCAATCAGAAGAAAGAAGGGTTCTTCTGCGTTAATTGTTGAAGAACATATAAAAATAGTGGAATTGTGGGACGAGAAAACTCCTGAGGTATTGTAGGAATGACTGTTTATATGATAGCAATTGAATAAGCGTGAAGAGGTGAAGAAGCCACTTTCTGCCTGATGAAGGACATTCTACAGGATAACTGTTAGACCTATTTTATCTGAGAGAAAAGTTTTTTTTTCGTTGTTGGTGAATAGAATATGATTTTTTTTAGGTGCAATAGCACAGGAAGGTGATGGAGAGCTCACAGAGGGCAAATGGTTAGCTCAGAATACTACAGAAACAGAAATGTGTCCTATAACACTATTCACAAAGCTTTACAGCAAAAATTGCCATGATATTGAAAAAAAAATCATTCTGTAGGTATAAATTGATATTGAGAAAATGCTTGAATGAAACTTAAATTCGGTGGCTTCGAGCATTCTTCTAAAAAAATATTTCTTTCGATCTATCCACTACCTGACAAGGGCACTCATTTCACAAGACGCACTGTACGAAACCCTGTGTGATTCAGTTCTTGATTCACCGTTTTATAGACATTTCAAAATTTTGATAATTCATAGGGTGTTCCGAGGTTCCATTCGGAATAACTGTCGCGGACGTCATAACTCAACATAATATTACCACTAATCTAATAAATGTGTACAACTGAAAATAAGAACCGACATTTTACAGAAGATTTTCCACACAGATGGTTAAAAGTACCAAGTTTGGCTGAAAATCAATATATTCCAGTACTTTACGAAAGCACGGTAAGAATCCTTGGCAACGGTGAAGGAAACATGGACAATTCTACAAGAAGATTTTCGTCATTGTGTGTGGAGTTGCCGGTATCTCCGAAAGTGACGTCATCTTCGTAATATTCAATAGGACATACTGTTCATCAAATATAAGTACGACATCTCATGTGAATTACAATTTTTAGTGATATGCAATGATTGAGTCATGAATACAGAGAATTAACCGGCATAGCCATGAAGAAGGTACTTTTTGATGGGGAAGCAATCCGAAGCAACTTCACTCCTGATCAAATCTTCAATGGGAAATCAATGATACTTTCTTTTTCAACTGCCATTCTCCTGAAATTTTCAACATCCTCATATTTGTCAATATTTTGATTGAGACATTGATTTGAAAAGGGAATTTCCGAAGAATTTTTCCATCAGCAAAGTGGAAAGTAGAGAGGCTAAGGCCCTAGGATGAAATTTATGGTCTACAAAATGAGTTCCATTTGGATATTTGCAATGTGATTCATGATTGTAGGAAAGAGGTTGAGTTTGTGAACGAACTAACTAGTCTTCCAAGAATGAGAACATTGCCATACACTGGTGCTCCACAAAATCTGAAGGAGAAGAATAAATCACATCCAGTTCAGAATTATGTCATGTATTGTTTTACTCGACAGGATATATATCATTGTTCCAATTCCAAATTGATTCCACCACAAAATCCGTCAATAATATAATATATCTTTCCAACGTTTGTATTGAAACCATTAATTTCTACCAGGATAGTCCTGCACGATTCACTATTGCCTTCTTTTTCACAGTGCTGCTCTTAAGTTGGCTTATGGAGTTAGTAACAAAGCCTGCACAGAACACACAATGCCGAACATTATGGGCTAATGGCATATACTACTACTATTTCAGCTATCAACATAATCACAAATGTTTATTGGAATGATATTGAAAGAAACAATTTTTCTGGTCGCTGAGATATAATTTGACATCACGAGTAGAGCGAAATGAGAACAATTTTCTATCTGAACGGAGAAATAGGAGAGGTACTATTTCCCTTGTATCCACAACGCGAGACCATCAACTTTCTGGCGAGAAATAAGATTATTCTTGGATAGAATTCCTATTTTTCCACTACTATGACTTTTTCAGTGAGTTTTTTACTAATTTGCAAAAGAAACCTTACCTGCCATATTAAAATAGACCAGAAAATAGAATGAAACAGTTGATTAGCAGAGGCAGTATGGAACCATATTCATTAGTCGAAAACTAATGTCTTCTCTTGCGAATAAGCTGAATAGTACGGGTTCCTATCAAGAGAAGGGACAATTGCACATGCACTTCAGGAAGTTGCTACAATATGAATACACTAGGCGACTGAGTAAAAATTATTAGAGTTGTGTCTCCATAACGCAACCACTAGTACACAAAGGGATAAGATCAGTTGTATCTTACTATAATAATTGTCCTTCTTCCAAACTTGCTTAGTGGTTCAAGATTTTGATGAAAAATCTCATGACTTCCATAATCCCTCCATCTCTAGAAAACTCATCAATGGATCTCACCAATGAAATCAAAAATATGACTATTCTGAAACAATCCGGTCCGAGTATCGTTCGATGTTGTGAACCGAGTTGTGAACCTTTCTCGAGACCTTTCTGTAGTTCTCCTGAGGATTTCATTAGGTCATTACGTGATTTTTTGTATCTTTATATCCCTACTTATTACGTTCACAACCTTTGTCAACTCTTGGGTATCGTTCTTGAACATAATTTTTTAGTTCGATGATATTCATTATTCCTGAATCTGAGGTGCAGAAATGTGCTTCAATCTCTCTCCTCTCTTAGCTGGGATTTTTCTCCATGATTTGAAGAATTTTGAATTTTCCCACCATACAGATAACGATATTCAATTCAACTCGAGATTCAACTCTTGCTACTTCATTTCTCATTATAGCAGCTTCTGATTCTCTCATCCATAGATTATTCAATATACATTTGACTACCTTCACGTCAAATATCAAATGAAACATTATCAAGCAGATTGCCGTATCCCTTTTTGACGAGATCTTCATCAAAGATTTTAATGAATCCATCGAGGCATCATTCCACTTGATTATGGATAGAAATATATTTTGCTCTATACCTTTCGAGATACCTTTCCTTGGTAGAGTTACCTACGATATGGAAGATGTTTCACAACGTTCTAATGATTCAACAGCAATGTTTCCTTTTATACCGTAGATGAACTTTTCAGTTTGTAAGGTGACACCAAAGATCGAGCCAAAGATGGAATGCCACCATTTCAAAGATCCAGTGTCTGAAAAATTTCTTGCTCGCACTCTGATTATTTGGCACGATATATTGGTCATTGGTAGGAGAATTTTTTCAGAGATTCGTACAATAATGCTTATCACATCCAAAATTGTAAACATAAATAACCACCTCGAGGTTTCACACAGTTGCCAAAGATGCAGTCTTTTAAATTCACTACAGATATTCAGAATTAATGAATCAAACATAGACGACAACATTCGTGACAACATCATATATCTGGAGGAATGAAAACATTTTGATTATCAAAAATATTTCTAATTTTCAACTGCCGGGATGACCATGTGTTGGTAACCTCCATGAAGCCCTTAACGCTATGGGCGTTTTTCCGAGCGTTTTTCCCTCTATCGATATTCATTTCATTCTATAACTGATATTGCTGTTGCCCCATTTTTTTCATCGCCACGTGAGTACATAACCTAACGTTGTCTTCAGTTTTTTCGGAAATTAGACGTGAATTTCATGTCATTTTCACATTCCATTGGATTTTAAGTTTCATCTGTTGCCTAGTTCATTCAAACCGTCTTCTTCAACGTTCATCGCGAAAATCTCTGTAAACCTTCGATATTTATCACAAAATCACGAGCAAAACCCATAATTACTGCCGAACATATGCATGTTTGCGAGTATGTTTTATGCATTATAATTTAGTATTCAATTCTTGTTCAGTCGATTTTTCTGGGTCTTTCGGGCGCTTCCATTTCCAATTGTTTCAGCGTTTCACTGCATTCCTCCTCTTTCATGGAAGGCCCAAACAACAAACAACAATCATTTTCATTATCGGAACTGGCGCTTTCAAACGGAAATGAATTCCTGTGACATATAATATCGTTTGTCTATATATATGTATGGAATAGCTGCAACGAAGTTGTGATCATTTCATTCGTGGGATAGAAAGGATGTTTTTGAAAACATGGACAACTGTCGAAATGGAATGTTGCATTTGATTTGAAAAAATCTCACACATTATTCGACAGATACTCATTTTGTTGTTGTCGAACGTGCGGGTGCTCTCAAAGTCAGGTGGATATCTTCTACAGGAATGAATTCTATCCTACTTCAGTGCAGTGAGGTTTAAACGAGGTCTGAATATTCCATGTACATTTTCAAAATACGCAAATTCATTTATATTCTATATTCCACATTCTGTATATACACAGTGAAGATAATAATCTTGAAATGAGGAAAAAAACTACAACCAAAAAATCCCACTCTCCTATATTCATAAAGAAAGATTTCACCGAACTGAGAAGGAATCGATCCCAATTTGAAACTCAACTTTTTTTTAGAAACGATGCAATATCACTTTCGTTTGACGCAGCTTCAAATATCCCAACAAAATTCGAAAAATTCTGAACGATATTCAGTGAAGAAACCAGCAATGATTATTCACATGTTTGAAAATATCAGACAAGTAGTCTGAACAGGAATATAATGAATCTTTACCTCGATCTTTACCAAATCCAGTGTATCGTTCATTTCGAGAGTTCGCAATATTCTACTCATATCAAGATGAGCGATGCTCTTGTTATCAAATTCGCTCCTAATCCTGGATAAGAATTTACGATTCACTTCAATTGAGGAATTCCACTACCTCTATTAGAAACTGCGAAAACTCCTGATAAAATTCAATCACCATTTTCACTAGATATCAAATAACTCTACTCAAGATCATCTCATTCTCTTGTCGAAAACTTCTCCTATCATTCACTCAGATCATTGAGACATACTATCTGTTCACTTGAGAAGTTCAGTATAGGCATTCTTTGGAAGGACAAATTAGTTTTCAGTTGAACATTTGGAATAACTGCTTGAGGATATGTGCTCTTATAATTGAACAAGAGGATATTCTTTCCTGATGATACATCCTCATGAAACGAAATGGAATCCTTGAATGAAAGATATATTGATACTCCACTCAACTATCTACATTATGAGGATCTATGAAGATTTCATGAGAAGATTGAATTGCAATTTTCGTATTGAGAACACACTTTATCTCATGAAAAAATTCTTCTTTCAAACCAAGTTTCAAACCTTCACCACCAAGTAAACCACCAAGTACCTACTCGATGTTAAATGTGACCTAGGCACGTCGCTACGTATTTCGTAGTTGGAGCAAAAAAGTACCAATAATCAGCAAGCAGATATTTCCTTACAACTAACGCTCTAGTGCAACTTGTATATTTATGAATAGAAAGAACGCCTGATAGGTCCTAGTTTGCTGTCTTTCAATTCATACCTATCTCGATACCTATATTATAAGGAGGTACCTATAATCACTAACCTCGAAGATTTCTGATTACTTCCATGATATCCTGAAATGGCCACTTTCAAAGGAGAGCGCTCAGATGCGAACCACCCCAGACCACAGAATTGTACACGACACAAAAAATAACGAATGCACTTGCAAAAAGTACCGAAAGGAACTATTCGACGAATAGTTCTTTTGTAGTCTATGGAACTTGTCTCGGCACTTGTTAACCGCGTACAAGTTTTTCACTATCGAAAACCGTATTTTCATCAGACAAGGAATCTCCCCACTCTTAGGAATGATCTTGATGTCAGAGCAAGATCTCTCAAACAAAACTATTGAGTTATATTGAAATGATGAAAATGTTCTCAAAACAATACAAATTATGTGTCAGTTTCAGGTTAACACTGTTGAATTAGCAGAAGGATAATGATTTTTTGTCTAGAGCAATGAAAACTCTCTCTTCAAGATTCCCAAGTGTCTTGTGAGGAACGAATTGAGATATTTCAAGCTATTCACTAGAACATATCTCATTTCTAACTTCGAAGTTGTACTTCGTTTTGAAATGAAAATCACCGATCTTGTTTCGGAGTCTTCTGATTATAAACAAGTAATCCGAGTTTTCTGTTGAAGTACATAACCAAGAAAATACTTTTCCTCTTGCTTTTCCTAATGTGAGAGATTGAGTCGCTTCAATTGAATATGAAGGTTTTACGAGAGTTTTTGACTTGAAGAAGTGAACTCTTCATCACAAGATGATATTTTTCAACAAGTGTCATATTTTTTTTCAAACATTCACTTTCAACTGTGTATAAGGAAGGTCAGAGATTTCGAAACCATATTGATTGGGTTATGGACTTGAGAAGTCATTCGCAGAGAGATTGAAGAATTCTGTGGGAATACGGGAGCTCCTGAATTTCCTCATTATATTTTCTCCGAGTCTCTTTCCATCTTTTGGAGTGCGCAAAACTCGGCGCCAAAGGCCATATATAGGATAGAGACAGGAGATTGGTATTGATATGATTCTTTTCAAAATTGAAAATCATAGGTTCCTGAAAGAGGATTCACAAAATCTTCGATGAGTGTTGAACAATAAATGCCAAAAAATAAGGAAATTGTCATTTGAGCCCAGCCTTCCAATTGGAAATCGGATGATGCGCAAAAAGTTATAGCATATTGAAACATGTCGAAAATTCACATGATTGACTTGATTCTTTGAGCACTTTATATCGGTTTGCAGTCTTTGGTATTGACTAATGCACATCTGAGGTTATTTCAAAGTTATGCAGTATATTGAGTGGAATTATTACTATCAATGATATTTCTAATCTTGAGTGAAACTGAGCTTAGATAAGATTTCAGTGGTAGGAGGTTTATGGTGTATAAGTTTATGGTGAGAAAATTTGTTCAAACATCTGGATAATGATTTGTGCGCGCGATGAGATGTGAAATATGGGTTTATTGTTTTTTTCTCATAGCAAGAGATGGGAAATGACGTTGAAATATATTGAATCAGGATGTGGCACGGTATAATACGATGTGTGGATACTTTTTTTTCCTCTCTTCTCAAGCAGTCTCCACGTCTCCACATTATAGATTCACTTTTGTTAGATAGCTGCTGTAGATATAGATTCTGTTTATTATTTTTCTTGCAAACATTTTTGCTCTCCTATTTCAGCCATCTGCCGCCACTCATACCACAATTGAGTACCGAGTTGAGTACTCATCCCTGGTTACGGCCGTCATTCATACACTTTCGGAAGACCGTGAGAACTTGAGTGGAGTTCGTAAAATGTACATTAATGGAAAACTCTCATGCAAAGACTCGTGCAAAGACATGGGTAGCGTTTTTGGTTGTCGTTCCTCTTGACCCAATGGTCGTTAGTGTCTCGAAACCAATCTCAACGACAAATACGATTAGTTTCGACCGAGGTTTCGACCAGTCGCACATAAATAAAAACTTTTTGAATCATATGAACTTCACTGGTGAATTGATAATATACCAGGAATGAATCATTACCTGACATCTCAAAAGCACTCGCAAAACACATTAGAATACACCTAAATTGATCATCGAATTCCTCGACACAGATTTTGTTGAATGAAATGATGATATTGAATTGTATATATATATCAAAAATAGATACACTGAAGTAAACCATCCAGTGATAAAATGCTATTCT